AGAATGGTCAGCAGGGTTCTGCTGTTTAACCCTAAAATCCTACTTCGAACATTAAAATCTTAGAATACTTGGTCACGATATCTCTAGTAATCAATGATCTAGTCTATTTAAAAAGGTCTATTTTATAGGAAAAAAACAGTTTGCCTTACTCCTGAGATAAGACTATTAGCAAAAGGTTCTTCCAAAAGATTTGGAGAAAGATAGTTATGATGAATAAGAGGAAGAAGGAAAGCTTCTCGAGTATTATCTTCGTTATTAGGATCCTTGCATTAGATACTATATGTTTACCCCTTGATTATAGGGAGAATGATTGATAATTATCTATAAGCGCACTCATTCAAGAACTAAATATTTGATAAATCTAATAAGAAGAAATCTAAAATGAGTTTTGAAAGAAGATACCTCAGCTGTGATGATGATGAACTGTCTAGTAAGTAAAATATGTTGAAACAGAATAATGTATTAGACTCCTCATAGTGAAAGTTTGGACCAAAGTTTAACTAGCTCATTATAGTGAGTGTAGCTGAAGATTGGGATAATAGACAAGGCTTTGTGAGATTAAGACGGTAAGGTGAGTTCCGAATACCATATTAATGGCAAACAAAATGATATTATAGGCCAAATATAAAAAAATCGTGAGGCTAGTCACTAGTGGCTAATGCGATAAATAGAAATCCAGACTCGAGAGTAGTTAAACCAAGATCGTTGGTATATGGCAGTCTCTATGCGCAAATTAACGTGAGATAATTATTAAATCTGTATTTTATTTCTCAAATCATATTTCAATAGGCAATTGCATTGGCAAATCCCTAAAATGTTAATGTATCGAATTATCACAAGGTCTCATAAAGCGACAATTGGAGAAAATGGGGGATTATTAAACCCTAGCGACTAGCTCCTCACTGAGAAAGACCATCTTGATGTATTTTTTGATATTACGTACCCTGACAAGGAATTTTTATTTCCGTTAATGGAAGAATCGCTTGGAATTAATTTGACTATATTTCATGAGATTTTGTTTAAGAATTAAATTAAGGACTTAGTTTGGATATGAAGTAGTCGGAATACTACGGAGTACCAAGAACTATTAAACTAAACTGATAAATATATTTGGAGAAAAGTTGGACTTAGAGGAGTCTCCTGATTTATAATAGCTGAAATTATTTACATTTCGAGTGGAACAGTTTGATGACGAGAGTTAAAGGTCAATCCCATTAGAAGATGTAGGTGTATTCCTGCCGACGCAGTTTGAGGCAAACTCTTTCGATTCCGGCAAATAAAGTGCTAAGATTTCGTCTGTTATATAACAGATATTATCAGAGCTAGGCATCATTCCTACAGCCATATTTAGGCTAACTGGTCAAGAAAACTCTTTTGCAAGATATAGACAGGAAAGTGAATTTACCTGGCTTAGGAAATAAATTTCTCACAGGCCATACATGGTACTAAGGTTCTTGATTTATCCTGTATTCGCCTTTTTATCAAATACACATAAAAGATATAATTACTGACTCCACCACGACGATTTTTTCCATTTTTGAAGTCTTATAATGAAAATTCGCTGTAGAACCGATATCTTAAGTATCATATTAGACGATGTTATCAGTATATAAGGTCCTGGGCCATACAAATAACATTAATGTAACCGAACGAAATTTAAAAAATAAACATATACCATTATGGCGTCAAGAGTAAAGGATATAAAAGATCCCTGGCGGTTTAGTAATCCTAATTAAAATTTAAATAAAAGAAGAATACATAGCATAATATTATAAAAGTTATGGCCTTCAGTCGATAGAAAGGGAAGTAAAATTTATTCATCTTCATTCTTTAAGCAATTTGGCTATTAAAAATCTTTAACTTCATGGTTTATTTAGTAAATAATCATGATTTGTAAATCAGTGTCGAAGTAATCCCATCTTATTTTGCAGTATATAGCTGGTGCAAATGAATACATATTTAGAAGAATGGTAAGGAGATTTATCACTGCTTTTTTCAGAGTATTTTAATAATCAGCTTTCTCCATCTTAGCTGCATCTACTCAGCTTCGCTATCTTCATCACCTGGATCATTTTCGCTCATTTGTTCTTCTTCCTCTCCTCCCTCGACTAAATGAGATGCTCTGACAGCAGCTTCGTCCTCTGGACTTGGATCCATGGCCTCCTGAACGTGACCACTCTCAGGATACTCTGGGAAGAGTTGTGGTATAAGTTCTGGTGAAAAGCCTGCAGGACCAGAAGATTTGAGGCCCCAGCCCAGATAGATATTTTCAAAGAAGCTACGCAAAGAAAAGAAACGTTATGTAATATATACATAGTGAATTGTTGATTTGTCTTGATTTAGTGGTATTACAGTTGGCTTTAGAGATTCTCCAAAACTCCGAAGGTATCTATTACTGCTAGAAAGCAACTCGACATTCTATGAGAGTATATTTCAAAGCCATTTGTCATCTAGTAAAATATGTTGGCTATAGGTCATCCGTCCTTTACAACGTTCTCTGAGACAACCATGACCAAAATGTTGCCGTAGTTAGTTCGGTAGAATCGTCTTCTGGAGTGCGCAAGAAACTATGTATTAAACTTAAATAGGTTTTGCTGCATTCTGTAAAGATTTTTGTAAAGGATTTGTCAGAAAAATTGTTGAAATCAACCCATGATTAATCTCAGTTGAGATTATTGTGATAGAAATAAAAGGGCAACATTCTTACATGCATATGCTTACCTTTTTAAAACTTCAAGAGAAAAAATTAAGACTAACGCTAAATTTCGTGTATCCATATGGATAGCCTTAGTTATAGAACAATGCGCATTGATTCATAGCATTTAAATGCAGGACTTGCTTAGAATGTTCTTGTTTGGAGAAGGAACTACAATGATGAAAAGGCCAAATCTATCGAAAAATATCATTTGTTCTAAGAAGCTAGAAGAAATTTCCAGGGTACTGCAGAATATATGTGGACAAAATTCGTAAGATGCACTCTCCGAAACTCCATATGATGTCTGTGCTAGACTAGCGATCTTTTAAAAAAGCTCAGAAACATAATTGTACAGAGACTTGTAATTCCGTATATCAACGCACACATTTCAAATAACTTTGGCTCCCTTATATGTGATTTATCTTGTTGTGACTGCTTAATATTGTATGCAGGTAAGCCTAGGCACACTATAACGGTACTTCGTGCGTATTCAGAGAAGAAAGACAGTTTATAGAAGCTTTTTACTATACGTGCTAGTGCTAACCATTCTCATTTACTAAACGGTAGAAACTACAAGCTTTGGACCATTTAAATGTATTCTTTAGACAAACATACTTACTTATATCTCTCAAATTTAACAACATGCAATTAAATAATTTATTTTAGCTAAAAACATTCTCCAACTCAGCTTCAGCCCAATAACCCAGTCATTTAGTAGAATGGTAAAAATGAATAAGAGCAAGCTTTCACAATATTTTTATTAGGACCTTGATGGCTCGTACTCAATAAGAATATACAAAGAGAAGAATGTCGATCGTTCGGACTTCATAAGGGTTACATCGATGATGCATTTTAAGTATTCATACGCATTAGTCAACTAGTCTGGTCACTAGTCGACTTAAAACAAAAACCAAAATGTCACTATTTTCTATGACGCTGTGATGTTGGGCTAAAATCATCTTGAGCTAAAGCTCTTTAGTGATTTTACTAAATGTTTAGGATAAATATATTCACCTTCCAGTTTACATAGTAAAGTGTAGGCTAAACGACTACAAAACTCAAGATCCTGTCGAAAATAAAAGGATCGAGTTTTACGATTGGACTCTAACACACTGACTAAAATCATTCGCTTTGGTAAGGCGTTTAAAGAGCAAGAATCCAACATAGGCCAATTTCAACAACAATTGAAAGCCAATTCCTCAGTAGCGTTGTGCATTATGCAAGCATAAATAACTAGTGAGCACAGATGCTAACATTCGATGAGCTATCAGTGTGACCTCAAACTCATGTTAACTGCTATTAGCATCATCGTAATCAAAGTGCTTTAGCTTAAGATGATTTTATTCAATTACTACTTGGTCTGTCTTAAACCCAGTCCCCTCTAGGTCCTAGTAGTTCTCTTACTTTTACAACGACCTTTTACTTTGAATAACCCCAATATAGATATACCTGTTCTAGATACTCCATGTTTTTTGTTTATAAGTAGGGTTTCGAGGTTACCAGTAAGTCAATTATATGGGTTGTATTCAATCTATTTCGTTTAAGGTAATGAAGGACTGGTAGTTGAATTTTCCCAAAATGTTATAAGTAGAGCTGACTTTTTCATTGAATTTCATATATAGATGTTCTCATCCAGGGTGGACTGCAGTTTCGACCTCGCTTGGGCCTTACCATCATTCCCAGCGACGGTCGAACCATGGCAGAGCAGTGTGTAATCTCGACACGTTAACCACTACGCCACATTGCAATGAGTGTCCTTGGCTAAGAGGGGAGATATGAATTTCAAGGAAGCCAGGCAATTTCCCATATCACATTCTTTGGTGGGATTGAAAATGAAGCAAAGTTCTATTTTCACTGCACTCTCATGGTTCGACTTCCTCTGGAGGTGTTGATAAGACTTAGGCGAGGTCAAAAATGCAGTTCATCCTGGATGAGAACACCTTTTGGAAAAGCAATAATATAATAAATTCAATGGAAACGTCACCTCTACTCATATCATTGTAGGGAAATTCAACTACCACACCTTCATAACCTTAAACGATGAAGGTACTGTAGCCCCTGTATTTATGGCACCAATAACAAAGGAAACCCTCCCCACCAAAAGGATGTGAGATTTTGGCAACACTGTTAATGAGCCAAATTGGATCGTAACCTGCTATTGGCGTACAAACTAAAGCCATAGTAAAATGTCTGGTGCAAAGAACACCATTTTAATCTTAAAAGTATCTCACTTAAAGATCGGTTAATTTATTTGATCGTCACCGAGTGTAAATCAATAAATATGCAACTAAAGAAGCAGGTTTCGGCATGAGATTTTTATAGGTTTTCATAAAAGCCAGGCAGCCTTAAGATTTTTCCAGAAAAAGCTTTTTTCAGGGCCAGATTAATCTGATAAATTACAAAAAAATGGCTTTCATAATATATACTATAAAACATGCAGATATTCAGGTCCAATGGGCCAGCCTCACTAAAGTTTATAAAACTAGTAAGTTCAATAAGCCATAATAAAGGTGCATAAGAGGTGAATTCATCCTAGTTATTTTAGAATAATAAGGGGACTGGTAATTGAATTTTCCCACAATAATATAAGTAGACATGACATTTCTATTAAATTTTCATAACCTTGCTTTCTCAAAAGTTATTCTCATCCAAGGTAGACTGCAGTTTCGACCTCGCCTAG